TAAAATGTCGCATTTTAGTATTTTTTCCCCCTTTTCTCAGCCTTCCCCTTCTTTAAAATTCTTCTCATTCCCTCATTTGAATCAAACATGACATTTCAGAACCGATTGGGCAAGTATCCTTGGGTTTGTTTCTTTTTTCCTATTTTGGGGAATTTACTGTGGATACACTGTTTTGATAACTGTCCACACAAAATCCATCTAGAAAGACATAGCGCATAAGCTGAGTATAAGCCTAAAAAAAGTTGAATTAGTTTTTAATTATTTTAATTTTTTAAAATTATTCGTAACCTTAATTTTTGAGGGTTATCAATCTCTTCAATTATACACCAACCCAACACACCCACCTTTCTTTTCCCCAAAGACGAAGAGTTGGGATGACCTAGTTGTATTGGGGGTTGGACTTGTAATTGTGAGGTCATGGCTTCAAAGTTAGTGTGACTTGTCTTCCCGGGCCTAGTGTGACCTTAGGTCACTTGCACACATGGTTCGCCTAGTGTGACTTGTCTTGTCGAGCCTAGTATGCAGGATATTAGGTTCAATCGGGGGTTTACCAGTGTCTTCGGCTAACGGCTCCGGGTTCCCACGTCATAATAATAATAATAAAAAGAAGAAGGATCGGCGACAATACGGTGAGACGACAGCGAGACAATGACTGACAGCGAGAGGCAAGACGGGAGAAGACCTTCGAAGTGGGTAGCACCTGCACTGTTTTCCGGCACCAAACTTTTTTTCAGGAGGCGTTGTGTATTCCATTTCAAAATCGGTTAGTCGATTTCCTTATTACCTCGCTAATTTTAAAAAATTTTGAGGCTGGATGTGTCTTGATTTGTTAGACTGACTTCGATCTATATCATTTTCTTAGAAGACGCTTGTGTTGGCAAAACGGTGTGCCTTATTTTTTCTTGTCCCAGTTTTGTTTTTTTTAGAGAATGGAATAATCATTTCTAGGGTTAAAATAAGGGATTTTATGGGTTACATGGCATGGTTGTTGTGGGAAGTATCAGTTGAACGTTTGAGCATGTCGGCGTTACGGGCATACTGTGGAGTGAGAAATATCTCATCAGGGTTGGTCGAATACAAAGGGCCACCTAGAGCTATAAACGAGCCGAACATAGCCGAACTTGTCATGTTTGAATTCAGCTCGTTAAGGACTTGAGCTCGGCTCATGTTCGTTTGTTAAGAGATACGAGATGAAATTGTTGTTTTAGCTCGACTCGTTTAACAATTTTTTGTTAGTGTTCGGTTTGGCTCGGCTCGCTAAGAGATTTTTATTATTTAATTTATCTTATATTTTAAAAAGATACTTCATCCGTCCCATAACAAAGTATCTATTTTTCCATTTTAGTTCGTCTCATAACAAAGTATCCATTTCCTTTTTTAGTAACTGTACTATCTACCTAACATTACAAATACCCTTACAACTTACAATATATTACACAAATGCCATTACTTTTATATTACACATACCAATAATGTTATTTTAGTCATTTCTACTTTATTCCTACTATATCCTAATATAATACTAATATTTCTAAAATTACGTGAAAAAGCAAATAAATATTTACTTATGGGACGGAGGGAGTATATATATTGAATTAATAATAATTATAATTTTAAATTAATAAATATAAATTAAATTAAATATAAAAATATTAATTTATTTTTTTAATAAATACTGTCAAACGTTCGCGAACAAGCTCGAGCTCGTTCGTGAACATAACGAACCAAAATTTATGTTCGTGTTTAGCTCGTTTAGCTCAACAAACGAGTTCTTAACAAACTCAAACGAGTCGAACCGAGCCAAGTTCGGGAATTATTCGTTTGTTTTACATCTCTAGGCCACCATTTGCATTGTATCGTTACCGGTGGGAACGGTAGTCATCGGTGTGCGGGGATTATATATGTAGCATTAGAAGCTCTCTAATCCGAAATTTAGAATTAGATGAAAATTGCATACGTTAGACAATTACGTAGAAAACCCGACCCCAACTAGTCACCAAGCATGTAGTTATTGTTGTTATCATTGCTGAATTGTTGTTGCATTTGTCAATTTGTTGATATTTGTTAATGACTTTTCCATGGTCCACGGGGTATCATTTTGTACAACCATGGGAGAGAAACCAAGCCTTCCATTACAACGAATTGTAGGATCACGACCCTGGGCCCAGGCGGGAGGGATGCTCGCCCAAGGCCCACGGTAAAAAGATCCATTATAAATTTATATTATATATATAATTTATTTGATATATATAAATAAAAAAGATTGTATATTGTACAACCATGGGAGAGAAACCAAGCCTTCCATTACAACGAATTGTAGGATCACGACCCTGGGTCTAGGCGGGAGGGATGCTCGCCCAGGGCCCACGGTAAAAAGACCCATTATAAATTTATATTATATATATAATTTATTTGATATATATAAATAAAAAAGATTGTATATTGGTGGTCTAGAGATTACTTTTTAATATTGAGGTCTTAAATTTAAATTTTATATGTTTTAAATATTTAGAAATATTTTTTTATACTATTTTTTATCTAAAAATCCTAAAAAAATATTTTATTTAATTATAAATAAAAATATATTATTTATATATATTTAGGGGTCCATTTTTTTTTTTTTCCGCCCCGGACCCTTCGAAAGTTTAGACCGGCCCTGGTTCCGGACGTAAGGTACCCATGCACGCTATACTTCTTTGATGATGTGTACACATAGGCCTATGTGTTGTCCAATCTACGGGACTTAATGTGTTTTGCATTTTTAATTCTCGGATGCTACTGTGAATTAATGATAACATAACCAAATACTTTTATTGCGTGCTTTCTATGACGTTGCTTTGTTTCAATTCATTTCGTATGATATATTATTACATTATCTGTTGACAAGATTTACATTGCAACATATTACGAATTACTTACATTGAGTATCTCAATAATAAGAATACGAAAATATATTCTCATCCCTAATCAAACATTTTTTTTTTGGTAAATAATATAACATTCTATTGTGTTTTAAAAAAATTGCACAAAACATCATCTGTTTTATTTATTGCTTGAAACATCCTTATATAAATGTAAAGTTTGCACGAAACACCATCATTGTCCAAAACTGATATTTGGTTCTCAACTTAAATTTAGCAAGTTCTATACAAATAAAAAATTGTAAAATATTTTAAATAAATTTTTTGAATAAAATAAATAAGTAAATAATTCATCAATTATTTATTTTTATAGGTTTTTGTAAAAATTAGATAACAATTTGTCTCCAATAAACTATAAAATGAATGATTAATCAAATATTTTTTATTTATTTTATTAAAAAAATAATTTAAGATATTTTATATTTTATGTTTGTATAAGATTTGTGTAATTTAGGTCTTTATTTATACTCAAATATCAATTTTGGACAAGGAAGGTATTTCATGCAAATTTTTTACATTAACATAATCGGGTTTCACGCAATAAATAAAACACAGAGAGAGTGTTTGGTAAACAAACATTTTCAAGAGTTTTTAGCTTATTGAAGACCTTTTAGTTGTTTGATCAGTAAACCGGCTAATTTTGGTGTTCGATAAATTAGCGTTTTCAATTAGCTTATTGGGTCCAAAAAACTAATTTTGCAAAAGCTCCAAATGTTTCATATTAGCTTTTTCATTTTAATTTTTTTATTCCTTATTTGCTCTTAAAATTAATTAATTCTTTCACGTTATTAATGTATATTTTTGTTACACTATTTATTAATTATTTGGATATATTTTCTTCTAATATAAATTCATATTTATAAAGTTAAAATAATTATTTTTTATATGTAAATTATCTTATTTATATTTTTTTATTTTTTAGAATAAAGATAATATAAAAATATTAATATTATTAATTCATTTATATAGTATTTTTATCACACAATATTTTTATTAAAAATAAAATATTTATTTAAAATTATAAATTTAATGTAAATATATATTAATTAAAAATTAATCTAATAAAAATACATATACTAATGACTTTTATTCTTATGTATTTATACAATTTCTAATGAAAAAAGATATATTTTTCAATAAATTTGCATTAATTCTTTACAAAATATTTTAAAATAATAAAAATAAATATCTTAATAATTTTTTTCTAATTTTTAAAATTAATATTAAAATTATAAAAAAGTCTACTTACCGAAAAAAATTCAACTAAATATATTGAAAATAACATATAAAATATCTTTCATTGTCATTTTACGTATAAACAACTAATATCAAACTGCTATTTTACCGAACACTTTAATACAAACAGCTAATCGAATCAGCTATTCAAACAACAGCTAAAAGCTAATCGAATCAATTAACAATTAACAACTATCAACGAATTGTCAAACACACCCATAGTGTTTTATGAATTTTTGCTAAAGTACAAAGCACTTAATATAATTTACCTTTTTTTTTTTATATACTCCTATATTCTAATGGAGTATTTTTTATTTTTTTTAACTCCCCAAAAATAACATTACGAAGTGTGTTCAATATATTTTAAGAGTATTTGGTGGGGGGTTGGACTTGTGACCATGAAGTCATGAGTTCAAACTCCGACATCTCAGATCATCTGCCGATTCGCCTAGTGTGACTTGTCTATCTAACCTAGTATGCAGGATATTAAATTTGATCGGAGCGCACTTTCAGGTTGCGGCTGCGCGGTTCACACATCATAACAAAAAAAAAAATTATTTATTTTAATTTACAATACAAATTCTATAAAGTACAACTACATTTTTATTTCTTAAAATTATTTCTAATTCCAAAAAAAATAAAACAAAATAAAATTATTACCTATCAAATCAATATAGATAAATACTTCCAAAAATTCAAACTAGGTTTATAAATTATAGAACATAAAAAAATTCAACTCTACTTCAAACTCAAATAAATTTAAAAAATAAAATAAAATAAAATTGATTCTTTACGCCGGCCCAACCCCAGCCCATTGATACATACACTAAAACAACAAGCCTGTCGTCGTTTGATTCGTTTCGTTTCTTTCGCTTCCAATTGTTCAAGAATTCTTGTGGATCCATGGCTTCGGTGCCTTCCACCGCCTCTGCTTCTGCGGCATCCTCCTCCTCCTCCACCTCCCAGCACGCATACCCTGCTACCGGAACCACCCCGTATTTTCCGACGCCGTTTCACCTTCAACAAATACCCGCCCCATCCACGGCCCCTTACATCGGGGCAGCCCCTCCTCCTGCTGTTCCTTCCGTCGCACGTCCTGTTTACCCTGCTCCTGTCGCCGTCTACTCTTTGCCTCAATATCAACAGGTGATTATCATAAATCTCTTTTTAATTGCTGTAATTATGGCCCATGCCTTTGATTTTCGGACCTGGTGGATTCACTTATTCCGTAGATTTGAGGTATTGAAACTTGTAAATAAATCTAGGGGAAAATTTTCAAATTTCTGAAGCCCTGATTTTCTTGATTTAATGCCCAACGTTATGCGATGCAAACATTAGAGCTAGCTACAGTTTTGTTTTTGGGGTTTGGTTTATTTTGCAGTGATTGGAAGATGCGCTAATGAAACAATCATATATATATACACACACACACATTTTCAAAGTAGCTTTTTCAGAATTTAGTTCTGTATGAGCTGTCGTCCAATCCCCACACAGATTGTCTAATGCTTTGATCTTAAACATAGCAATCGTGTCTCTCTCTCTGATGAAAGTGTGGAACAAGTGATGGTGTTTATATTAATGAGAGATTTATTGGAAGTGTTAATTGAAGTTGAATATATGCATTTGTGATTGATATGGACAGGCCCAACAGTTATTTCAAAGGGATGCCCAGACAATAACACCTGAAGCTCTTGAAAGTGTAAAAGCTGCTCTTGCCAGTAGTGATATAGAGCACAAAGCAGAGACTAAGAAGAAAGCAGTTCCGCGGAAAGCCGCCGGGCAAACATGGGAAGATCCCACTCTTGCAGAATGGCCTGAGAGTATGCATAAACCTATTGTCTGATTTTTATTGATCTCTTTGCATGTTTATCATTCTTTTCGTCAATTTGGCCGGTTAGCTGAAGACTACCATTTGTTGTTTAATTCACCTGTGTGAGTTAAGCTACTAGTGCTAGATCTGTGTCACTGGTACATTTATAAAATATCATGAGCAAGGGACTTCGAACATGCGTTATTAATAGAAAATTATTCTTTGGTTTTGTGTATTTAACAACCAAGCCTCATATAATGAATTGTAGGTTGTCATTAAAGGTGCATTGCATATTCATATTTTGGCTTTATTTTGCCTACTCTAAATGGCCTTCTGATGAACTAGAATCTAGGTAAAATTAGTGTTATACTGACTGAGATGTAACAATTTAAATATATTTATGGTGTGGTGTGCCTTAGGCGCACCCCGAAGGAGGCATTGCCATGGTGCATGGCACAAGGAGAGATTCCAATAAAATTTAATTTTATATTAGGCTTAACTAGAATTCATTATTGCTTTTAAAAAAGATAAGTAAATATCTATATGGGATCTTTCTTCCAAGTTTCTCTGGCTTATTGTTGCTACCCTCTGGCTTCTGTTTTTCATATCTTTTCTTTACCACTCAACACTTCCATTTCCATCTGCGCTGCTGGTCTTGTCTTGTGCCAGTTAAGGCAGCTTGCAGTTTTTTTTTTTTCTCCTATATCAAAGTATTTTTTTAGTTTTATGTTCTACATAATTGTTATAAATTGTGAATGGCTATTTTTGTTTGTTGAATATGTGCTATATTAATTGTGTGTGTATGTGCTATGTATTATAAAAATACATCTATAGTTATAGTGTGCATGCACCATGACACGGCACAGGCTGGCGTCATGCACATTTACAACTTTGGTCTTTAGGTAATTGCTAGAATAATTGACTATAGGTAATATAAACAATTTTTCCAATTTTGCTGGTTGTGTGCTTCTTTGCCTTGCGCAAGTAGTGTTAAGCTTGTTTTCTGCCATCTTTTGTTCATTTTGCTTCGGAGATATCAGTATCTAATGCTGCCATCATGCAGATGATTATCGTCTATTTTGTGGTGATCTTGGAAATGAGGTGAACGATGATGTCTTGTCCAAAGCCTTCTCAAGATTTCCTTCCTTCAATATGGCCAGGGTATGTTTGAACAACTTACCTTCATGTTTTCCGTAATATCTCTGCATGTGTCTTAACTAGTGCAAGAATGATTGAGAGCCTTGTAGCTGTGTTGACTCTGAATCTTAGCTGCAATCTTCCTTTTTCTTTTTTGTTTTTTAGAAAGGAGTGCATAAAGGAAGGTTACTTTGTGATCATGACAAGTATGTTCTTAGTGCTAAAAGTTAAGAATTTAGTTGTGTTTTTCTTCACTCATTTTTTTCAAACACCATTATGTGGCAAGCTTTACCCCACTTGTGTTATATTGTCTAGTATCTCACTCTGGTTATGCACTTCTTATCGGCTTGAGTTGCAATGATATGATATAGCTAATTGCCTTATCTTCATGTAGGTTGTAAGAGATAAGCGTACAGGCAAAACCAAGGGCTATGGTTTTGTTAGTTTTTCTAACCCAACTGACCTTGTCGGAGCACTGAAAGAAATGAATGGTAACTAGTTCTCGTCTGGGTTCTTTGTTTTTATTTTATTTTATTCCTTGAACAAATTTTGGTTTTAATTTTCCTAGAATTAAGTGGATGAATAATAGGGAGACCACCCACCCACCCCTTCCCTAGATTTCACTAAGCCATGGCTTGATTTGTTGGGGATCTCTGCACACTGAAAACCACACAAGTCCAAAATTTGCTTCTCTAAGCTAAGTCGGTACTAAGTATATTCTTGCTTTAGGGAAGTATGTAGGAAACCGTCCAATTAAGCTTCGCAAAAGCAACTGGACTGAGAGAACCGATCATGAGGCCCTGGGAAGACATAAGGTGAGACAGTGAATCATTTTGCTTCATTCCATCACGTGGCACTTATGAATAATGTTTTTGTTTTGCAAGCAGAACCAGTCTCAGAAGAAGACAAAGCTGCCAAAGAGAAGTGTGTTGCACAAATGAGTGGTGACATTAGATCGGCCCTCCCTCCCTCCCTGGCATTTATATAGATAGATAGTGTTGTGCCAATCCTCAATGGAATCAAGAGTAAATTTCTGGTCTTTGTACCGAAATATTGTGGTTGAGTGGGTTTAAGCCAGGCTGCTATGATCTTCTTTTTAAAGTCTCTAATAGTGCAGGCCCTTATTGGGTGCAATGGCATGGCATGGCACACAATAGGAGATGATGGAAGAAGGCATTTTTCACAAATGCTCACCCAAGATGTTCCCTTCAAGTCTGCTACTAGGTAGTAAGTATTCCACCACTATAATTTTTTATGTTATTTGCTTTTTTCATGTCCTATCCTAGCTAGTGTATTTTTCACAAACTGCTGTCAAGCTTGTTTTTATATACAATACAACAGGATCTGGTCGCCATTAGCTATTGTTCCAATCAATTCTATTCTAAACCGAGATATCTCTCCCATTCTCTGCTCTCTTCTTGACATATTTACTTACTTTTAGTAACACACGCCTTGGGTAGGCCTGGTTTGGTCTCCCGCCTGCCCACAGCCGCACAACAATATCAATCAAATCCAAGGAAAGGAAATGCAATGCACCCAAAGAAGAAGAAGCTGCTGCTGGTGGTGGTTTGAACCTAAAATCAGTGGTTCCAACTTTGATTGATTTCCGGAATGTAGAGTGGAACTGAGACCAAACCAAACCTTTTCATAAAATCCAATTGTTCTGGATTGAAAATTGCTTGCACATGTCTGTCCCTAGTTGTCTATTACTCTACAGCAATCAGCCAAGCAGAATAACACAAAACAGCTGCACAGATCTAAAACCCATCAGCAAAACATACATGCCATGCATAAACAGCAAAAAACACACACGAGCATCATAGAACCAAACAGAAATCAGATCTCCCAAGTCAATTACACAAAACAGTAATATCATAAATCCGAGTTAGAAGAACACACCTTGAGCGGAAAGAAAAAGTATGGCCGGTAAGTCAAACGGAATTTGCTTGTTCGGTAGTGCATACTGAAAAGAAGTAGAGAAAGCCTAATTTGTGAAGGGTTAGGCAACTCACAATTACAAAGCAAAATGTTGATCTGGATTCATGGTATTCATCAGATTTTCCCCTAAAACACATCTAACCAAACACCACATCAAAATGATTAGTTTTAATTAAAACATAACCATTTAAAAATAAAAAAAAACTATTTAAGTTCTCTAATTGTCAATCTTTCAAACAGTTTTCTTACAAGTAGATGTATCCTCAAGTACAAAACAGTATGTATGTTACTAATCTTGGTCGATTCACACAATTCATGTACAAACTCCACGTTGGAACATAGTAGATAATCAACATCAGACAAATTTAACTGAGAGGAATAATAATAATAATAATAATAGAGGGAGGAATGGATCAGCAAGAGGGTTGAGATCAAGGCAGGAAGCAAGCGGGAGGGTACCTGTAGGGCTCAAGTCTAAATTGCAATTCAATGGTAGAATGCAATCCACGCCTTTTCTTACAGCCCCTCACCTCCCACCCCTTCACCAATCGCCAGAGCACCTACAATGGCGACCAGCTGAGGCGGCGATGGTGTTCATATTATTGAAGAGGTTGCGAACGTCACTGTGTAACTACTCCTACACCGACAGGGGCCCTCTTCTACATCAATTTTCCTAATTTTTCCCCCCAATGCTTCCTTCCTGCTCAGACCTTTTACTTAATGCCATCATTTCCATTACTCGTAGATCCAAATTCCAATTCAAATCCCAAATCAAACACTAAAACAAACTAACAAACAAACAAACACAAGGAATGTTTAGGCAACAATACAGCACTGACTATCAAAAATTGCTTGAAAGATTCGGTGACCAAAATTAGCATTCATGCTTCAGAAATCATCTTCGGTAAGCATAGAGATGTCAATGTCAACACACACACTCGTATATAATAATATCCCGAAGAAAACAAACATCAATTATGTTACAGTTCGATCGCAGATACTCAAACGGCCACAACATCACGTTAACATACATTTGTGACATTGTGTGGCTGAACCTGTACCGGATTGAGAGAGAGAGAGAGAGAAGCGGCGCAGTGCTCTAGTCTCAACCCTCTGACTGATTAGGGTTAGGTATTTATTTATTTATTTATTGGGTTGGGCCGACCTTCGCTTTCACTCGTACTCAAACTCGCCCTTGGTACACTTGACTTCAGCGGTTTGTGCAATTACCCACACGGTTGTATAATATTTTATTTTTAATATTAAAGTTAGGATTTTAATTTAAATAATAATTTAATATGATATTTATAATTTTATTTTAAAATGTGAAAACTAAATAACAAGAAATTAAAATAAAATTTAAAACATAAGACACTTTATATGTCTTGTTATCGTCAAATTCCACGAACCTTTCATTTCAAATCAATCTTAAAATTGGATTTTTTTTTATAATATATACCCTTCCGTCCATAAATATAATTTTAATTGGATTGAACACGAAATTTAAGGAATATTGATATTATATTGATAGTTGGTAAAACATATTGATAAAAAACTTTTTTTTGTAAGTGCATTAGTGTAAAATACAGTAACAAATATATAATAAAAATAAAAAAATAGGGATAGTTTTATGATGATATGATTATTTATAAAAATAAGACTATTGTTTTTGGACGGACAAAAATGATAAACAAGACTATTGTTTTGAAATAGAGGAGAAAATATATTTTTTTCAAAAACATCAATAATATAGGGCATGTTTCTTCAAGTCCTGTTTGGGCGAAAATACTGTGCAAGCCCAAACTGAGCCGGCTCCCCAAGTACGAAATTGCTGCAAATGGCAGCAAAACCTGCAAATCTTTTTTTTAAAATATTATATTTATTTAATATTTATGATAATTATAGAGTAAAAAAATATATACAAAATATATATGTATTTGGTAGAAAATAAAATTTTCTATAATACGAATAAATAAAAATTTAAATATATATATTTGGGTATAATATAAATTCATAATCAAATCATACAATATAAAATTTATCAATTAAATTTAATGCACATTTGTCATGGACCGGATTGATCAACTACACAAAATACGGAATAAACTAATAAACAACGACAAAAAACGAACAACTAAACATAACTAACTAAGCAAGAAAAGAACAAATTAACTAAGCGGAAACAAATAAAGTAAGAAAAATGATAATTGAAAGAGAAGCAAACCTAAGTAAGTACTAACGTAAGAACGACCCGATACCCTTCTAGCATCGAACCATCCTCCACGAAGGAACCACCTCAGTCAACACTTTGGAGAGCTTTTCCATCTTCCCCAAATGCCACGAACTTGAGGCTTTATACTCAAACCCGAATTTTTAAACTAAACCCCACGGAGCATGCAATGAAATTGCATTCCATGAAATATTAGACTAAAAGAGAAAGTATTGCTATCAAGCATAACTTTCCATAAAAGGAAGTGATCATAAATGATCAAATATTCACAAAAATATATTTTGTTTGGTGTGTCTTACAAAGCACCTTAAGAGTCCTATTTATAGGAGTGGAGGAAAGGGCAAGTGGAGTAATTTTCCAATGTGGGATGAGTTGTGTATAAGTAAGTAATCTCCCAATGAGTGGCACCTAGCTAATGGTCCCCCCTTGCATGTGAGAGCTTATTATATATATATATATAAGTGGTCCGAATGGATGGTCCCCCCACTTGAGCATGTGCAACATAGGTTTATATAATTACATATTAAACACTCTATTTTAGCAAACTCCTAAGTTTGCACAACTTTTCCGTTAGTTGTCCGATTGAGGCGTTGCAAGCTCCAATGTAACCTTTACAACCACGACACTCGCCCTAGGCTTTCCATCAAGTCCTCGCATGTTGTAACATAATCCGTCGGTTGGTTCAAATTCTCTAATTTCTTTATCAGGCCTTGTAATTTGTCAATGCACGCTTTCGCTCGAGCTCTCGAGACTGGTCCGATTGGAATATGTGGAATTGCAAGTCCCGATCTTTTCATATCCATGTCATCATCTCCCTCTTCAGAAGGTTGAGCCATCAACCGTTGTGCTTTCTCATCGGCTTGATCATAGAGTGATAAAAATCTGCAATATTAAAAGTAGGATTAATATCATATTCATCCGGAAGTTCCAAACGATATGCATTATCATTAATCCTCTCAAGCACTCGAAATGGCCCATCTCCTCGGGGTGATAGCTTTGTACGTCGCCTTGTGGGAAACCTTTCCTTCCTCATGTGAACCCAAACCCAATCTCCGGGATGCAATATTACTGCTTTACGCCCGCAGTTAGCATACTTAGCATATACCTCCGCAGATTTTTCTAGACTTGCTTTGACATCCTTATGAAGTTCCTTTATGCGTCTTGCTCGTTCCCTACCATTAACATTTAAGAACTCATTGCTAGGCAATGGTAAAAGATCAGTAGGCATTAGTGGGTTCATTCCATAAACTACTTCAAACGGTGACATGTGTGTGGTTGTGTGGATATGTCTATTGTATGCAAATTAAATGTAAGGAAGACATTCATCCCAACTTTTACTATGTGAATTCACAAAGCTCTAAGGAGATTACCCAAAACCCGGTTTACCGCCTCCGTTTGTTCGTCAGTTTGGGGGTGACAGGATGTGGAGAAAAGAAGCTTAGTACCAATTTCATGCCACAATGATTTCCAAAAGTAACTCACGAATTTTGCATCACGATCTGAGACAATAGACCTTGGCACTCCATGAAGGCGTACTATCTCCTTGAAATACAGTTTGGCGATGTGATGGGCATCATTTGTCTTTACACAATGAATGAAATGCGCTATCTTGGAAAACCTGTCAACCACAACGAAAATAGAATCTTTAGCTCGTGCAGTTCTAGGTAAACCCAACACAAAATCCATACTAATATTAATCCAAGGTCCCTCAGGGGGTGGAAGAGGCATGTAGAGTCCATGTGGCTTAAGTGTTGACCTTGAGGCACGTCACGCATTGCGAAATATAATCTGCAACTTGCTTGCGCATTCCAAGCTAATAAAATTTTTCTCCAAGAGCTTCCATTGTAGCATTCTTCCCAAAGTGGCCCATCATGTCACCACCATGAACTTCTTGTATTAGTAACTCCCGAATGGAGCATTTTGGGATACAAAGTCGATTATCATAATACAAAAATTCCTCATGTCTACAATACTTATCATGCCCATGAAATTCACACAAAGCATACACATCTTTGAAATCCTCATCAGTGTGGTATAATTCCTTAAAATGCTTAAATCCTAATAAATGCGTGGACGCGTATGAAACTAAAGCATACCTGCGTGAGAGTGCATCCGCAACAATATTATCCTTACCCTTTTTGTACTTGATGGTGTATGGAAATGACTCAATAAAAGATACCCATCATTTGTGCCTTCGATTCAGTTGTTGTTGCCCCCTCAAGTGCTTCAAGGTCTCATGATCGGTGTGTATCACAAACTCTCGTGGCATCAAATAATGTTGCTATGTCTTTAAAGCCCGTACCACCGCATACAACTCCTTGTCATATGTAGAGTAATTCAAGGCAGCCCCTCCAAATTTCTCACTATGATAGGCTATGGGTCGACCTTCTTGAATCAAAACTGCACCCATGCCTTTGCCCGAAGCGTCACACTCAAGTTCAAAGGTCTTCTTAAAATGTGGAGTAGCGATCAAGCTAAAACTAGGCACGAACCTCCGAAAAAATCCACACATTCCCAAAAACCTCCTAATTTCTTCCACATTCATTGGAGGTGTCCATTCTTTAATTTCCTTTACTTTTGT